CTCCGATGATTGTGATTAGTGCAATATTCATGATGCGAGTCAACTCCAGGCCCATCTCCGGCCAGAATTCTGCAGTCATCAGGAGAAACCAAGAACTTCTTTCAACTTTTCCAGTGTAGTGCAATCTTCTGGTTAATTGGGAGAACGCCTTGCACTCTATCACCCGTGTTAACGATATGTTCACCAGGGCTAGTTATCTAGGCCCAAGGCTTGCTGTCAGGTGTTTTGTCGAGGTGGGTCTAACGGCTTCCGAGCATATCAATAGACTGAGACGTCTGAACTCAAACCTCTTCTTTATTTCTTTGGCATCTCCCTCTGCGACCAGGAGAAGACACAACACTCTTTTGTGAGATTACGGCTGTAGTCATGGCTTCGACTACGTTCATTCTTTTCTGTCTCCTTAGTCTTCTCTTAACATCCCTTCCATTGTCCTACGCACAAACGTGTAGTGCTTCAAGCCCCTGTGAAGTTGGATGCTGGTAAGTCACATGTTACATGCGAGAAGCTGGCAACGTTACCTTTTCCACTCTAATCTTCAAGTATCAGCTGACCAACGAAATTAGCTCCAAGTTTGGCCATTGTGGTTTTGGACCAGACTTTTGTGCATCGGATGTTTGCGTCTCTGGCTGCGACCGCAAGTCCGACTGTGATCCCGGATTCGGTTCACAATGGGCCAAGAGCTCCACTTGCCCTCTCAACGTGTGCTGTTCGAAGTTTGTAAGTGCCTTTTCGCATACAATGTTCTTTGTGCCGGATATGTGTGCAAGTACTGACAGCATATCTTTTAGGGATTTTGCGGAACAACGAAAGACTTCGTAAGTAACAGCTGACGTTGTCCTACTTACATCGAAGCGTCAAGCTTACTAGCATACTTCTAGTGTGGCAATAAGCAAGTCAAACGAGAGACTTGCGATGAAGACGGCACCCTCAATAGGGTGGTTGGCTACTATGAAGGATGGGGTGCCAGAAGGCCGTGCAATGCCTTCTTTCCTGAGCAGATCCCTCGTGGCGTTTACTCGATCATCAACTTTGCCTTTGCCACGATCGATCCCCAGACATTTGAAGTTCTTCCCGCGACACCTGAGGACATACCACTTTACAAGCGCTTGACAGCGCTCAAGAAAGACGACCCCACACTCCGCATCTACATCGCCATTGGTGGCTGGACGTTCAACGATCCCGGTCCTACTGCTACTGTATTCTCAGACATTGCACGGTCAGAAGCAAACCAGAAGAAGTTCATCAAGTCGCTGATTGCTTTTCTAAACAAGTACGACATGGATGGCGTTGATCTCGATTGGGAATATCCTGAAGCTCCGGATCGCAGTGGCAGACCCGAGGACTTCAAAAACTTTCCTAAATTCATGGAAAACTTATCTAAGGAACTTCAGCAGACAGCGGGCCGCGGTGGGCTGTCTATCACACTCCCGGCATCCTTCTGGTACCTACAACACTTCGACCTCGTCAAGCTGAAGAAATCGGTAGACTTTTTCAACATCATGTCATATGATTTGCACGGCACGTGGGATAAAGGCACGAACTTCCATTCTTTTTGATCTAATCTCTTCTAACGTCTCATCAAGGCAACAAGTGGACCGGCGAATATCTCAACCCTCATACCAATATCACCGAGATCGATGCCGCCCTTGACCTCCTTTGGAGGAACAAAGTGGACCCAAACATGGTAGTTCTGGGTCTCGCATTCTACGCGCGAGCTTACACGCTCAAAGACCCAAGCTGCACTGAACCACAGTGCCAATACGCATCGGGTTCCAAGAAGGGTCCTTGCAGTAACGAGGCCGGTATCTTGCTCAACTCTGAAATCGACGACATCGTTAAGAAAAAGAGTCTTGTGCCCAAGTTATGGGAGAAAGAGACGGTGAAGATGCTTCACTGGGACGATCAGTGGCTGACCTACGACGACGCGGACACGTTCAAGTTGAAGACCAAGTTCGCCCGCAAGCGCTGCTTGGGTGGCGTTATGGTATGGGCCATCAGTCACGACACCAAGGACGCAAAATATACGAAAGCTCTGGCAGCGGCGGCCAACCGCAAAATCCTTCTCCTACCTAGTACGGAAGGTCCCGAACAGGAAGTCAAGATTCCGCATCCCCAGTGCAAATGGACAAACTGCCTGGATGGAGGCTGCCCCTCGGGCTGGCAGCTTATGAAGCGCAGTGATGACCATGCCCGTGCCGATGAATGGATGTTTGACAACTCGGGGTGTGATGGCGCAGGTATCCATCGTCTTTGTTGCCCGTCGTCCGAGACGCTTCCAACGTGTGGTTGGTACACACTTCCCAAACGCGGCGGTAAATGCGATTCAAAATGTCCGGACGGCTCGCAGGAAGTCGGTTCCAACTCCAACTATTGTGACTCGGGCTACCAGGCTGCCTGCTGCACCACCTCGGACTCGGATAACAAACCACTTCGCGCCATGGAGCTTTATGAGGGTTGCGAGTGGTCAGACGCGCCGATGTGCGATTCAGGCAAGTGCACGTTTGCTGGTTCAGCATGGCCAACGGAACTAGTCGTCTCATCAACGGGCAGTGGTGGTGCCATCTGCAACATGCGGTCTGCGGGCTGGGATGCAAGTACTTGGCAGGTTCAGGAACGTAAGTACTGCTGCGACACGAAGACGAACAGCCGCAAATGGAGCAACTGTAAATGGGAGAAATCGCTTGGATTGGGTTCTGCGGGAGCCCGATGCTTTCCCAACTGCCCCGATGGCAAGACACGAGTGGCCATGGACGGTTGGGGCGACGATTGCAAGACCAGTGGTGCCCGGGCGTACTGCTGCGATGCTGACAATTACGACACCGAGACACGTCCGTCAGACGAGATACAAAAGTACCGCGATGCCATGAAGGCTTGGGTCGAGAGTCCAACTTGTCCTCGGGGAACGGGGTCTCTTCAACGACGTTACCTCCTGGAACGAGGCCTCATAAGCCGCGAAGACAAATCTCAACTCCTCACTCGGCAGCAAACACCCATTGGCGGCAATGGCATGACCAACGCTGAACGAGTCCTGCAGCTGCTGATACTAATCCTCCAGGCCATATATCAGACGCCGACCGACATGAGCAAGGCTTATAACGGTGCTTGGGATGACTTCATCAAAACCAAGCATGAGGGAATGCAGACAGTACCCATGAAGTCATTTCTTACTGACAAGTCTCGCTATCCTGCCTTTGACCTTGAGGGCCCAGAGATCACTGCAGAGCGCTTCGCTTGCGAGCTCGATGTCACCGACGCTCTGATTCGGCGGACACAAGTTACCGTAGTCATCTGTGACGCCGATATGTGCGGGATAGACGGGCTGTGCTTCGACTCCTTTGATGACGATGCGGCTGGCACCTCAGATAAGCGTGGCATGGGATTTGGGTCTGTGAAGGCGCGAGGTACCCTCGACACATCTCCTGCAGAACATCACGGCGCTCTTGAGAAGCGCGATAACATGGACGTTGAGTTCGAGTGTGTAGACTCGGCGAACCCCAACGGCAAGAAGATCAAGTGGAGGAAGAGGCCGTGGACCAGCGCTGGCCAGTGGAACAACAACAATCCCATCTACGACAATGCCCTGACCCACATGTTCGAGGATCACTGCTCCATGACTAACCTCAGAGTTTCTCAGTTGCCAGATGGCGAATACTATGCCAGTAAGTCGATACCTACTCTTTCTGCATGCTATAGATGTAGTTCTCCTTGCATGATCATCATCGCTGACCCTTGATCTTACACAGCTGAACACATTATCGAAATTCAGACAATGGCTCTGTTTTTCACTGATGCACCGGGCGACAGAAGGTGCAAAGTTCCATGCGACTTCTTCATCAACGGCTTCAACAACCCTATTGCGAGCGGCCCATCTTTGCCTGGTGGATTCATGAGTCCAGTTCCCAGTGAGCGTATCATGGACGCGCTCGGTAGTGAGCTGAACACAGTGAACTTCGTCTTGCTGCGTACGAATCTGAACGGGATGAAAGCTAGGGTATGTAGCCAACTTGGAGATATCTATGGGTGAGATTGAGACTGACCATGCTGCCGCAGATATGGAGATACTTGGATCCCATTAGTGATGGCAGTTGGCTATTAATGGTTGCCAGTAACGAGCCTCGGGAAGCGCTACAGTCCATCCGAGATGTGAGTATGGCAGGCTACTATAGCGATCGATATACTGACAAAATCAAGGCTATTGCAGTATTCAACTATCTGAACCATCCGTATGTCCGACCCAAGCTCATAGGCATCAACAGAGTACTCCGAGAAGAGTTCCAGCGAGCATCTGATGGATACAACTTTGGGCACCCCAACGCTGGCATCGACATACGCGACTGCTGGGACACTTGGTTTAGAGAACACCTGGAAGATATGGCGTCGAATACGCGTACGTGGGTGCGCGGTGCCATTGCGGATATGCGCCGGGCATGGAGCCCGTTGAACAATCCCAATGATCAAACGTATCAGGCGAGAGCGCTACAGGTCAACCAGCATCTTGACCGCTTGGAGACGCTCGGTATTACCAATGGGGAAATTTCCATTGACACCACGAATCTGTGGTAGTGGTAGTCATTTTTCAGGCCCTATAGAGTAGATTTTATTGAGACTGTTCCTTCACGGCTCCGATACCCTGCACTAAACTTATCCTGGCACTGTACTCCGTGCCCATGAGTTCGGTCCAGCCTTGTGTAGCCCATTATGATTGGCTTGTGTCACTCTAGCGTGTTTGCATCTTCAGCCTCTGAGTGGGTTTTGTTGCAATTGGCTTGGCATTTCATTTCGAAGTTGCACCTGCCTCATTTCGACAAAATAGACGCCGAAGGTGATTAATGGATAAACAACAAAGACATGCCAAAGACCGTCTCGGATGCTCTTGACTTGAACACCAATTTCGTCTGCACTGGCCAATAATTAGGCCTCCTTCCAACTGCCCCGCCCCCGCCTCGACAATTGAGATTGCTCCACGCTCTCACCTTTCATCCACTACGGCCAGCTTCAGAATGGCGGAGCAATCACAATCCCGAGATCTCAGTGGCCTTTCAGCGCAGTTCCGCAGCGTGATGGAAGGTCTCACCCACCAATGGGGCTTTGTCGTTGTGCGCACCGCCTACGCCAATGACAACGACGATGCACAGTGGGCTGCCGCCTTGAAGAAGCTACACGACTACGCTACTCCGTCGGATAGCGGGGCTGAAATGGATCCCGACACGTTCGCGCTACCCGTCATCTCTGATCGTGCTCTTCTGCACGGAGCTGACTATGCCTCGGTGCGCAAGGCGCTCAATCAGTGGATCGCAGATTTTGTCGGCCGGGAAAGAAACGAAGACGACGACGACGACGACGACGACGACGAAGACGAAGAGTGGCCGTCGGACGTCCGGCGCAATGTGTGCATTGTCGTCGACGAAGCTGCGCTGGCTTCGCTGGTGAATGCACCAGATTTTGTTCGCGGCAAAGTCCCGAACCTGGACCTGGAGCCGTGGGTCACTGTACTGGACGCCGAGGACCCGACCAACATGCCTTATCGCGGAGGGGCGCCGTACATGGGCTTCACAAGAGCCTACGCGCGTGTTCTCAGCCAGCTGTTCGATGATCTCGACTCGCGGTCTCTGGAGAAGCTGAGCCCGATTCGTGTCTACGATGGCCAGATACCGCTTTTTACTGGTTCTTCGCAGGGCAAGCTTATCGATCCGCCTGGTGGAGTGGACGGAAGATACAAGTTTCCGCGAGGAACACCGAGGGGCGCACAGGGAGCGCAGACTATGCTGGAAGAGATTGAGCGGGCGGTGGGGAGAGCAGGCATGGGTTATTGATTCTGATGAGTTGGAGGGCATCAAATGGAAGAGAACAGAAGTGATAGTGTAGCCTATGCCTGCTCTTGTTCTTCTAATTATGATTACTCCATCTGCTCCATCAAACTCTATTTCATATCTCTTCTAGAAAGCTACACCGAGACGTGCACGGATACCACCATCCTACACATACATTCCCATACGTTCAATCTTTCGCCTGTTCTATGAGAATGTAACCCAAGCCCCAAACCCACACGCCTCAACTAATAGCACCATAATACCAATCGCCATCCCACTTCCCACCCGCTGACCCGGTTCCGCTGTCTCCTTTCCATCCCCAACATGGCTCAGAAACACCCAAGCCAAGGCCGCTGCGACACTAATACTGAGCAAGACAGTCATGACGACAACAACTCTCGTCGGTGAGACCATATAAATCAGTTCCAGAGTCGGTACATGTGCTTCCTTTGGCGAAGAAGAAGAAGACACAGCGATCCTTCTCGCCCACGTAACCACCATGTACTTTTGGAAACCAATAGCGGGATTCCTGCATAAAGCGAGTAGATGGGTTTCCGAAGGGTGAGGTAGCTGCGCCGAGGATGTTGTTTGTTTGTCTGCGCTTCCTCTCCGTTCTTGTCTCGTCTGGTGGTTACTAGCGATACAACAGACATTACGCCCGCCAAATTGTATACCACGCAGCGTCCTCGCGCTGAAGCCAAAAGCTTGCCCAAGTAACTGGCAATTAGCCGATCGTAGTCTCTCAGCAAAAGCCGCATCGTCAAAGTCGGTGTCAACGCTGTTATGCCTCGAATATCGATAGCGATATCCCTGCTTCTCGTCATCAGCATCGCTGTCCAAGGGCTTACTCGGTACAACAATCTCCTCCAACTTCGTCTGTCCAATTTCATCGTTAGCCCCTCTCCCTCCTCCCGTCTCATTGCGCATCTTCCACGTCCACCTCTTCATCCCGACCCAGATAACCAAACCGCCTGCGCTCTGCCTCGCACTGCTATTTTTCCTCCCTTTTCCATCGCCTGGCTCGGCCTGACCCCGTATCAAACCCTGCGCACTCTCGTTCCTCTCTCTTCGACTCCTCAAGTTCAAGCCCTCCACGCTCGTCGTCACAAGACCGAGTACATGCTTCCCTTTTCGAGCGTTGTAAGCAGTTTTGGGCTTGCCGGGCAGGTAACTTGCAACTTCCTCGGGGAAAATACTGGTACAGGCTGAGTCCAACCTAGCATAGTCTTCTGCACTACGAATACTAGGATTGAAAGCGGGGAGGGAGAAGTTGGGCAGGCGATTGGAATCGCAGGTGTAGCCCATTGCCGGGAAGGATAAATTGGTGTCTGGCAAGGATGTGGCAAAGGGATTCGTTCCATTTACGTATGGGGAAGCAGCGCAATCATGGCCGCGTCTTGCTTCTTGTCCTCGTTTAGGTGTTACTAATCCCGTTGACAGAGCGCTCAGCCTGATCTGCCGATTCGCAGATGATGAGGTTATAGACTTGGGCCAACTAGTCGTAGTACCCGAGTTCAGATAACTACGCCCAGCTTCCACCTTCTCCACTCCTTTCCCCGCACTCCTCTCTAAATTCTCGTTACTCTTTGAATCGGCGCTCAATGCCTCGAGCGCACGCATCGCATGTACATGCGCATTGATGATAGAATCTGCAAGTACACTATCAGAGCTGCTAGCACCATCTGAAGCATTCCTCTGGTGATAATCGTTCCGGAACGTAGGACTCTGCGGTAGAGGCGTGAGTGTATCCTCGCCATTCTCATACACTTTTTCCCCTGAGGTCGCACTAGCTGAGAATATGGCGACCAAGGCTGATGCAGGATATGCTGGAGATACGGGGAGAGAGATGTTGTTGTAGCCGTTGAAGATGGATTGCCGGGGTGAGTCGACACTCGATCTGATGGATCTGCCATCCACCAACCGTACATTTTCCCTATTTAGACGCGTCAAAGACATCTTCCGGGCATGGCTTGGTGCATCTCCGTCTTCCATCACGACAACTCCCGCGGTATGTTCTTCGTTGAAGCCGCTGTAGTCTGAGCTGTTGACTGGTAGGCTCGTCACGTTGGAGAACGCGGTGGTGGTGCGACGGTGTCTGCTTCGACCTCGCGGCACGCTTCTGTCGTCGTTATTTATGTTATGTGATTGGCTGCGGTGACCAAGTTCGGGAGTGTCCGTACATGTCCTTGCGAGTAAGGCTGCGCTGGCTCCAGAGTCGGACTCGGATGAACAGTCGTCGAAAAAGTCGGTACCAGGTATTAATCTGCTGTGCATGGTATCAATCTCTCTCACGTCCAAGTAGACAGACGAGCGTCTCTTGGAATCGGCCTCGACAATCTTTGGACTCGATGCCAGTATAGGACTTAGCCTTTCAAACGGGTGATTGAGGAAGATGGTCCTCGTTGATGTAGTATTCGGCCCCGGACCAGCAAGAATAACAGGAACAGCGGGATTCACTGGATGCTGTCTCAATAAATCAAACCTCAGTCCAATCGGTGTTAAAGTCGACGGGGGCTGGCCAGTGTCCATCCTCATATCCCGATTTCTCACCACTATGGTCGGGCCGTCGGAAGGCGATATTAGCCACTTTCCGTCCGCGCGTTAGCAGGATATCCCGTCCATCTTTTTAGAGAGATCGACAGACGTACGGAAAGGATTTCTGAGACACATGTATCATGAATACGAGCAGCATGTTGATGGAACAAAGAGGAACCCAAGGCAGCCTGACGCCAGCTGGTAGCGAGATACATCGGAGAATTAGACCAGAGAAAACAAAGAAAGCACGCGCCAGAGATTGCGAATTCGTATCCAGCATTTTGGCAACACCACACTTTGGCATAACACTGGGAGAGAATCGTAGTTGTTGGTTTGCTGTTGTTCGGGATGAAGAGGAATGAGGAGAGCAGCGGATGCATCCGCATTCTGCCACCCCTCGCCTTCATCCCTTGGTATGACCGACCACATGGCCGCCTTCGGAACCGCTCTGTTGGATCATCAAAGAGTTATCGGCAGATGTTGGGGCGTATGTAGAAATAGTATCTATTGGCGAGAAGACGGACGAAGGAGACGCCATCTAGGAAGCCCCTTACCTACTCTATACATAAGCACCGGAGGCGTACAAACGTAAAACAACGCCATATGCTATGCCACCAACATGGTCAATCGTCGTTTCGCTCGATCAACATAGAAATGAACTAGACATGGAGTATGAAAGAGATGAAAAAGCGTCATCCGTGGGGAACCGCACGAAGAGCTTGAAAAAGTCCTTGATCGTCGTCGCACATGATTTCGCCTCCACCAAGTGGTTTGGCGATGCTGATGGGGCCCTACTCGCCGTCGCGGTCGAACATCTTGGTCATAGCCTTCTGCGCAAGTTCTACGCCAGCGAATGTAGCCGCGTTGGCAGGCACTGCTCGTGCCATGGCGGGTCCAATGCCAGGGAAGAAGGCTTTGAGACCACCACTTGCGTGGATGCCTTTGATAGTTCCACTGATTGTCGGTCTGCCCTCGGCACTCTGTAATCGCGACTTGATGGTGTCAACGGGGAAGACTGGTATCCACATGGCGATACCGGCAGCACCACCCGCCACCATGACCGCGCCCATACTCAGCGATCCAGGCTGTCCCGTAACAGGATCTTTGGGAGTCAGAGTGCGTTTGACGTACTCGTACGTCGCAAAGTAGAGGGCTGATCCTGGGCCGTCACGCGCGAGTGTCATGGCAGAGCCACGGTATACGGACTTGATGCCACCCTCCTTGTATAATTGCTTGACAACGTCCATACCACCGGAGTATTTGGGCTTCTCGCCGGGAGCTAGATTCTTCTGTCCCTGGATCTGCAGGAGCACTTTTACGCGCTCGAAAGGTGCGGTGATGATGGTCATGGGTATGGCGCTGAAGAAACCAGCGGCGGAGACTTGTGCGACGCTGAACTGGTTGTTTTCGACTTTAGACACGCTGGAGACGAGCTGCTTGCCGAGATCGTAACCCCAAAAGGATACGGCAACTGGGAGATATCAGCTGATGTTCTATCCCGACTGCCTCATACACTGCTTCCCAAGGGTACTCACACATGGGCGTTACACCGACAAGGGGCGCAGAAACACCCGCATACAGTCCCCTGGCCAATCCCTCCTTTGCGATTGTTTTCCTCACAACGTCCATAGCGCCCGTGTATACACCCTTCTCTGCCGTCTGCATGCGCACCTTGACTAGATCGAACGGGTGGCCCACAACAACCGCAAACACACCACCCACGCCTCCAGCTAACAGCGCCCGTAGCGACTGCAGCGACGACTTGGAAGCGGCCTTGACATCTTCCTTGAGCTCTGCCGTGTTGGGCAGCTTCTCAATCACCGAGTCTGTCGTGTTTGACATGGTAGAAAGCTGTGGTGGGGGTCGCGTCCGTAGGTCCGGGGGGGCAGGATGAAGCGATTGTGCGCGCGCAGAACCTGGTACAACTATGACAGGGCCCGGTATGGATACCAAGAAAAGCTGTGCGAAGCAAGTGAGAACCTACGCGACTCTGCCCACAGTGATTGCGAAGAAAGAAAATACAACAGCGAGGTGGGAGACTGTGGCATGTGCAAGCTCCAGTGCTCCGGAGACCTGGGCCTGCGTCGGTATTCGGCTGGTTGGCTGGCTATTCCACTTGCCGAGGCTGATCGGCGCCGAAGAGCCGCGCACCTCGTTATCCTGCCATTGACTTCATAGCATCATGTGAGGGGCGGACGCGCCAAGGCTGTGGAAGCATGATGTTCGGTCGTCGGGAGAGTATGAGGCTTGGTGGGGTAGCCTTGTATGGCAAGAGGAAGGACTTGACAGGTGTGACCTCACATGCAGAAAGCTTGTCTCTCCGGTCCAACGGCGCACGACACGACGACCTACTTGACGATACACTCATCAGATGAAATTGCCTAAGTATCGTCTATATCATGGACACATACGCAACGCGATGATCTCTTAGTTGTTGTACGATTGCTCGCGAGCCTTACTACCTAGCTGCCACCACCAGTGCTCGAACCGACAAACACCACAAGAACAGCAGCATATGTCGCCGTAGATACGAGCCCCTCAATATTAGTCACTCGTATCCCAAAGGTCAAAACAATGGCGAATAGAAATACGAATGCCGACACCGTTATGAGGCTCTTCGTCGTTGACGGCCTGATAGCCATAATCAACATCGGTCCAACGAGAAAGAGCCCACCAACAACAGCAATGATGAAGCGACACGGTCGATCAACAAAATGGGAAACATCCTTTGGTGGCTTGCCATTTTTGAATTCCATTCTGCGGGCTTCTCGTTCGTTACGTGAGTAGGTCATCCATACGTGCAGTCGCTCCATCAGTAAGGTTCGTAGGCTATCGATCTTGTCGTCCGTCACGTCGAAGTAGGAGTAATGGGAATTGAAGCCTTCAATATCTTTGACTTGAGAGTAGAAATAACGCTGCAACTGGATACATCTTCTCGCTGTCTCATATACGGTTAGACTCTTCCTTTCCCGCAGGGAGTGGTAGTTTTGTATCGCAGTAGCTGACATCAGTTAGAAAGGTAGCATACGAAGCGACAGGGATTTGCTTGCCATATTGCTCTAAATTCGTTCTCAATTTCTCAAGGTCATCATCTGAGATAGTTGACGCCTCTGACAACGCATCCTGCGTGCGGATGAGCTTCATCTGCAGTGCGACGAGATTGATCCTTTGAAGCTTTTCGAAGCGCAAGAAATGAAATTCTTCGTACTCATTGAACGATCTTTCGACATACTGAAGTAGCTCCTCATTCTTAGACTCTACTAAACCCGGAGTCGGTGCTGCAGCTGGTGGTGTTGTGGATGGCACTGCTGCTGTGACATCCACGTTGACCAGCGTCGCCACTACTCCAGAAATTTCAGGCTTGAGCGATTGTTGCGAAGGCTTTTATCGGACGCGGCCGAGAATGACAGATAGGGTGCTGTATATATAAGGTGCGTCCCTAAGTGCAGAGACACACTGTGTCCCGAGACAGGTTCACGCTACGGACGTCCGGAAATGCTCCTTCTTGATCCTGTCAAGATGCAAATAGCATCTGATCACTCTCCAGCTACTATTCCCTAAGTCTACTCAGCTCCGATACAGATTGCTGTGGTGTTGGCTAGGCTATTAATCGTTACGTTAACGTCGTCAATCGGCTCTTTAACAACACCCCCCTGCCTATTAACGATTATACAAAGTAATTAACTACTTAGAGGGCTGTAAAGAGAGCACGAGTAAGGAAGATTAATTCCTTTAGCTCATGATCTTTTTTCAGGTTAGGACTAAGCATGCCAGAAGCTCCGTTGCGTGAAGCAGGCGATCTGTGAAAACAAGCCCGAGCTAGCACGACGCGCTAGTGTCTCTTAGCATGCAAGGGTCTGTATTAGCATGCTTGTCGCCCACTGTATTCTACTGTAATAAATTCAGCGCTATGCCTACCCTGTAGCAACTCGAAATAGATGAGGCGCACGCCGCTGAATTACTAGACGCATCTAGAAGCACGTGCGTAGTCTTATTCTCTTACGCGCTAACTTATGTTCTTTTCTAATTAGCTCTACTTAAAATGCTCACTGCGTACTGTCCCTAACTGTTGCTATTATCTCAAGACCCTCGGTAGGATACATGAACAAAGTTTTCGGGCATTGACGCAAGGTCATTCTCTTGGTATTAATGCGCACCTGCCTCGAGCAGCATCTTGACTACCTGCTCGTGGCCTTCAGCTGAAGCTGCCTGCAGTGCGTTGCCGTAGTGTCCACCCTGCGCGTTGACGTTGGCGCCCGCGTCGAGCAGCGTCTTGGCTACCAGCTGGTGGCCTCCAACTGAAGCTGCCTGCAGTGCGTTGCCGTAGAATCCACCCTGCGCGTTGACGTTGGCGCCCGCCTCGAGCAGCATCTTGACTACCTGCTCGTGGCCTTCAGCTGAAGCCGCCTG